CAATGCAATTCCCCGATTCCTGCATCAGTGGCATCCTCATGCCCGCAAGCATCTCCCATGTTAGGCCGGGGTTGATTACTTGAGACGCTGTTAGAGCCTGGCTCTTCGCCACTTACCGTGGTAGTCAGATGTCAAGACTTCATCGGTATCATAGGAAGGTGGGAAGAACCCAGACCCACTAAGGGCGCATGGCCTGCAAGATGTTGCAGCTGTACCGATGCCAGAACTCCCAAAGTCGGCGGCCGTCCGCTGAAGGAAGGAACATGGAGTTTTGTAGGGGGGGTCTCACGGCTGGCCTTTGGAAGGTCCAGGAAGATCCGATCACTGCTTAAAGCATGAAATGTTGCAGCTTTGTCTGCCTAGATCACTCCAGTCCATCTCCTTTGAGAAGGAGCTGTCGCACTGTGCGTTGGCTGAAAGTCAAGACATCGCGCCATTAGAATCCTCAAGTTTGCTGGATGCATGCGAGTGGAACTAACGAAAACTTCTCAGGGTCTACCAATCAGCCACTCGCCTCCGAGCATCCTGCCTCCTGCAGGACCGCAGGCGGAATAAAGAAAAAAGGCAGCTGCTGTCTGCACTTCCAGGTCCCATTGTCTTCCGGCAAATCCCCAATCATGGCAAGCTTGCAAGCGATACAGAGCTGTCAGCTCATGGCGGTTACAAATGCGGCAAGGATGTTACGCAGCTTTGCAAGTGCAAGTGTGGCAGGACAGTTAACTCTAGGCTACATTGGTGCTGGTGTGGCAACGAGGACAGCAACATCAGCAAAAAATCAACACTCACAAGGGCAGAAGTGACACTAAAAAATCACCCCAGTCTCAGCGGCCAGAAGCTACTTTCCAAGACGGCAAGCAACTAGTGCTACAACTTCCAGATGCAATAAGATAACGGTAGCAACACCATTACAGGCCACAGAAATAACCTCGGTGATGACAGTGACATGGCAAGTGGTAGCCGACACACCAGCACATGCAAGCTTAACAAAAACACAAACAATCAAACACACACACACACACACAAACACACAAACACAAACACACACACACACACACACACACACACACTCACTCTCTCTCTCTCTCTCTCTCTCTCTCTCACACACACACACACACACACACACGCACACGCCTCCAAGAAGCTAGGTCGAACTCCTCAGGAACAGATTGGAAGCACGAACCATCAAGAACAAGTCTACCAGCAGATGTATCGCATTTCTGACGACCTGTCTTTGGCTTTATCGATTTTCATACGTACACACATGCGAGGCCGCTCACATACAAACCTGATCACAGCGGTTTCGCTCTCCACTAACAACAACATGATTATCAGAAGTACGACCAATTTCAGCAACGATGTTCTGGCGGCTGTGGCGGCTGTGGCGATGTAATCACAGCGTAGCTGTCTCGTTTCAGTTGTTGAGTTAACTGCAGACTTTAAACCCTGACCGGTCTTGTACACTGCAGATGCTAGTTGTGTATTGGACAAAAGCAAACCCCACAGTAAGTTTCCATTGAAAGCAAGACTCTCCTTCAAGACTTCCGAGCAGCAACTGCCCTGCTAACACCCGAAGAAGTACGTGTTGTCTTGTCTAGCAGGACCTGAGGAAGCCCAACAAACTCTCTTTAACAATGGGACTGCTTGGGCTGCATCACCTGGGAAGTTGAGTGATGCTCGCCAGCATGATTTACGGGAAACTGGGCTATCAAACATTTACGCTTTGATTTGATGGCTTCCAGGGGTTATCTAGGTCAATCTAGGTCTAGGCTTACACGACGGTTTACGCTTACAAATCAAAGCGGATGGCTCAAATGACTTCAAAGTACCCGTCGCGGCAAAGCGATGATGTATGACACTCCTGATCGTAAAGTGTGCTTGCTGCTGCAAGGTGCGACCACCAGCGACAAAACGGAAGCACGACACTGAGACAGACCAAAGCCCCCAACCTTAAAGTTAAACCCCTAGAACCCTAAACACCTAAAGGAGAAGAACATGGGGCCAGGAAGTCTAAGGCGGCTTCTGCAGCCCTGCGATCCTCAGATGTAGGCGTCCTGGGCAAGGGATGCCCTGCTACACTGTATAGTTTTATTGAAAAAACCTATAACAAAACCTAGGTTTTTCAAAAAAATCTAATACATTACGAAATATCACAGCATATTTTCATATACGACATGTACGAGAATATACCAGGTGGTATGACGTGATATGACATAGTATGACACACCATAGAGTGGGTATGATGTAAAATGATAGGTGTTTACACCGCAGTGTCATATTACATAAGATAGTAAAGGGCTTCTTGGGAGTTTGTAGGCTTCATGCCTTCAGCATCTGCCAGGATGAGTGTAGCAACAGTATGTGACATTCGGGGTCAAAGGTCTAGTGATGAAGCATCGTTGTTCTGTTTTATCTCCGAAGGTTCGTGGAAGCTTCACGTTTCGGGAACTTCTCGGACAAAAGGTAAACGGATCCCCGACCATCAGCCGACATCTTGTATCACCAAGCCCTCAAACTAGTGAAGCAAACCAGAGCCAGCCTCTTCAAGAACCCGTCGTCTAGACAGACATGTTGCCGCCGGACAAAAAAAGGCCAAAAATGCTGAAGGGGAGAGGTGTCCGGACTGCCCCCGACAACTCCCCACGCATAAACACGGCAATCGAACGAAGTTCTTACAGATATAACCATCCTGGTATGTGCACCACATATGCACATCTACATTTACATCTGCATGTACACCTAAACTTACCTTTCAATCTGCGTACATACATACGTACACATATACACATTACACACACATCCATTCATGCATTCATATACACATACACGCATGACTGCATACAAAAAGGTACAACTATACATAATACATAGACATACATACATCGACGCGCATCCATGCATTACATACATACATGCATACATACATACATACATACACAATTAAGTACATACATACATACATACATACATACATACATACATACATGCATGAATGCATGCAGGCAGGCAGACAGCAGACAGACAGACAAACACAACTAAGCAAGCGCACATACAAATGGACAGATATTTGTGTATAAAGCAGCTATACGTTCAAGCTTGATGGCTTCTCTAACATCTATACACGTGAAATACATATACCATGACTGTCTCGCGGTTGGACCGGTCGCTTTGCTAAGGCTTTGGGCGTCGGTTTCCAAAACAGCCGAGGCACCAGGGCGTCAGGCTGCTGGGCGAGAGCAGTGGCTTTGGCACACATGTCGCTGGAAGCCTGACCACAGGAAAAGGTCCACGGATCGATGATGAAAGTCGGTTCTCCAGTACGAAAGCGATGTTGAGAGGAGGCTTCCTTGTTATACTGACGTTGAGAGCGCTGGTTCAGGGTCAGATGCTGCTTCCTCTGAACATGACGGTGGGTGATTCGTTTGCGAAAGTTAGAAACTGTTCGTGTGATTTGCTGCTCTGGGCTATGCTCACAACATCTAGTAGCGCTCAACCCCACATGCTTGACACACCCACCATGTGCTCTCTGCAACGCTGAAGCACCTCGTATGGCCATTGTAGCAGCGAGGGCCCTCTTTTTAATGGCAGAACCTGGCGGTGAGCTTGCCAGGGTTTCATGTGGAAGGTGTGTGGTCTTGCGGCCTATAAGGCGTTTCACGAGTTGAATTGCTGCCGTGACCAGGCGCAAACTTCTTTGCGTTCAAAAGCTCTGCATACTCAGGAAGCCTCACACCCTCCTAAACTACCCTGCTATCCTGGATGACTAATGCATGAGCCCCTGCATTCCTCAAACAGGAATCGTGCTGATGAGCTCACAAACAATCACAGTCGACTTGCCCTCCTAAACATTGCAATTTCTTGGAGTAGTCAAGGGTGTTGAGTGTCGGGATGAGTCTTCAATTAACAAGCCGAAACTGCTAAGAATACATTCTGGCTCTGCAGTGGGTCCCAAACCTTGTCAAGGAAGCTAATCCACCAAAGAAAGCCCAAACTCCAAAAGATGCAAACTTAGCATATGTGTTACAGTCAAACGGCAAGTCTGGGCTGTGTACAATGCACCATGACACGTTCCAAACACAGCGACTCCGGCTAGCTAGCCGCTATCTGCATGACTGGTGCATACTTCGGAAGCTCCGGTGTAGTCCGCACCAACCTCCATATGCTGAAAGACTTCACTCAGCTTCACTATCGACTTTCCTATTGACCAAGCTTTCGCAAACCTGCACCTCACAACTACCGCATGACGCAAGTCCGTAACTCCTGCGGTCCAACACGGCCCCAACCACCCGGTCCCTCTGCCTGCGAGGCTGAAACTACCCTCCGAGAGAGACCCGGGGAGACCCTGCCAACTCTCACCTCGGTCGGCTGAAAATGGTGATTGTAGTAGTGATAGTCATCGTCGTCGTAGTAGTAGCAGTAGTAGTAGTAGAAGAAGCAGTAGCAGTAGCAATAGGGGTAGCAGCAGGTTGGTACTAGCACCAGTAGTTGTAGCCCTAGTAGTAGTAGTAGTAGTAGTAGTAGTAGTAGTAGTAGTAGTAGTAGTAGTAGTAGTAGTAGTAGTAGTAGTAGTAGTAGTAGTAGTAGTAGTAGTAGTAGTAGTAGTAGGTAGTAGTAGTAGTAGTAGTAGTAGTAGTAGTAGTAGTAGTAGTAGTAGTAGTAGTAGTAGTAGTAGTAGTAGTAGTAGTAGTAATAGTAGTAGTAGTAGTAGTAGTTGTAGTACCGTAGTAGGAGTAGTAGGAGTAGTAGTAGTAGTAGTGGTAGTAGTAGTAGTCGTCGTCGTCGTAGTGGCGGCGGCAGTGGCAGTGGCAATGGCAGTGGTAGTAGTAGTAGTAGTAGTAGTAGTAGTAGTAGTAGTAGTAGTAGTAGTAGTTGTTATTGCTGTTGTCGTCGTAACAGTAGCCGTAGTCTATCATGGCGACCATCACTACGAGGCACAGTGTTCAGGAAAGACGACAGTCACCAAGGATGGAGTGCTTCGGAAGCTGGAGCAATGCCTACCTTCTTCATGCACGACGCTCATGGCACCCCTTTTGTGGTTCCTGCCAAGCTGCGTAGGCAGTGTCACCCGGCACAGAGCCAAAGATCGGAGCTGTAATGTAGCGGTCCGGGCCGCGGTAGATCCTTAGCTCTTCATCTCTTCTGCGCGTGCCGTCAGGGATTGGTGCAGCACGGGCATGCCTTCAATGCCTTCCAGGGGGTCACTTCCCCGAATTGCTGCCCTGCAGAGTGCCCGGAATGCTTTGGACAAGGATTGTACGTCCCCTTAGTGCCTTAAGCTTCATCAGCAGCACCTGCACAAACGTGTATGACTGTCTGCGATACCTTAACTGCTGCTGTGATACTCGATGTGGTTCATTTCCACCACGAAGATGGTCCCGTCCTTTGAGTCGTAACCGTGAACCCCAAGCCCCCAAAACCCTAAATCCCCCAACCGAAACCTTACATCCTAAACCCTATAAGCCCTATAAACCCCAAATCCTAAGCTCCAAATCTTCAACTCTCAACCTGTCCTTTGGGTCGTAGCCCTCTGTGCAGTTGCCTGCGCTCAGGTCCCGCACCAGAGACCATCCTAAGAGCTCGAAAGTTCAGGAATTTCTGGGTTGTTTTGAGGTTTAGGGGTTTAGGTGTCTAGATTTTAGGTTTGGTTTCTAAGGATCTTAAGACCATGATAGGGATCTAGAGTAAAGAATATGAACTCAAGGCGTACTCTTAAGGAACTGTTCAAGTTATCATAATAGGGACATATAGTAAACAGCATGATTTCCGGCTTAACTCAATACCTTAGAGGGAACCTAGTATGGCTTGGCCTTGGCTTGCTACAAATTTGGCACTCGTGCGCCGTCTTGGGACCCTGGAGGTTGAGGATTGATCTTTGAAGACAGTCTTCTGCTCCAACTGCTTTGCTGTGTTCCGAACCGGACAAGAGAAAATACACGGTAGTCCCGCAATCGTGTTGTGGCATGTCCAAGGTTGTGGTAGAAAAGAGAGGAACCAATAATTGATACCGCGGCAGTGATTGCACGGTGTGCCGGAGCACGGTATGCGAACATGACAGCCCTAGCTAATGTAGCATGTTGTCCCTGATTGGAGCAACATAAACCTAAGATTTCTTTTCTATGGCAAGATCCAAATATTCGCTCCGTTGTGCTTGGACTGGCTTAGCTATGATATGAGCTAGCTTCACTGCACTCGAAGGAAAGCAAGCAATGTGTCGAAGTACAAGGTTGAGGGACAACTGCGGCAGTCTACATGACTCGGTCTGCACGAGCCTACATGATTCACCATTTTGCAAAAGGTGGCTGAAACAACAATTGCGCGGCCTCATTGCGGTGGTCCTTCCGTCGGGAAGAATGACACGATGCTGCACTATGCGACAACATGAGTACTCCCGTTCTGTCCTGGTTCCCAGTTCCCAAGCCGAGTCCCAGACTTAACAGCACTTCGTCCGAAACATTCGCAGCTTCCGCAGCTGTGAAGATCACCTGTTTCTACTTGGAGGGCTTGAATATTTTGGATAATGTTTGTGGGACATATTCTAGATTCAGTTGAAATTACACAGGGATCAACAAGGAATACTTGGTAATCAGTCAGGTTTCCATACCATCACGCCTGGCCGTCCTGTGCAGGCTTCTGCGCCTATGGCCAACATGTGTGATACCACCCCACCATACATCCTTGTAATTCCTGGGCCATCCACTGCAAAAAGCCTTACTTCTGTTCGGATCAGCAGATACTTTGTGGATTTCCGCATCATGTTGAAGAGGGTATGCAGTGCAGAGCTTCAATGTGTCTGAAGCTCAACCGCATCCTGGCTTCTCGCTCCGTTTATCACAGTCTCCTTTCATCTCACTATCACTTGCTATCCCGGAAGTCTTCACAAACACGTCCTTTATCTTGTCGCTCTGTCTGTCTTGCTTGTCGGGACAGCTTGCCGGGGTCATCAATCGATGCTGATAATCTTGGTGACACGGTCTGAGTGGAAAGGCCCAGGAAAAATTAGCTAAAATGCCTGGGTATCCACACTCCACACCCTTAATCCCTGTGCAAAGGTGAGACTCCGTAAGAACTGATGATGTCTCAGGATAGGAAGATCCACAAATAGTCTTTGGCTGGGATTCTCAGACCTATATGGCGACAGGTGACCAACACACTGTTTCTTCGGGAACATTCACGAATCTTCTTATGCTTCCGGCAAAACATCTGTGAACTTCGCTGCCTGCTCGCCATCCCCCCAGGAGCCAGTGTTGACGTTACCTGCAATGAAGCTGTCTACTGGCTATATATCTCAGTCTATGTACACACACGGCTATACAAGTACATATGTACATACATACGTATATGTATATATATATATATATATATATACATATACACACATGGGGTATGCGGTTATGCTCCTATGCTGATATCCTCGGCATTCTCGAAATAAATATGTGGCTACATGTTTTGTATACCTTAACGGTTGGGTCAACAGTGATGGGGCTTGGCTGCCCCAAAACACATTTTTGAGGGATGCAAAGCTCTTGGATACTCGGAGCACGGGCGACTGAGCTTGAGGAGTGGACAGAAATGAACCGAGAGGTGGATTGTCGATTCTGCAGAGACATTCAGCATTTTGATCGACGCAGACTTGCCCGGCTTGCGGATTCTAGGCTCTGAAAGCCCGACACATTCAGATCTGATCCGAATCCCACCGAGTCTGCAAGGACAAACGTCCAGTCTCAGAAGCTTCTCCACACACCCAAGAGTCCGGAGGCATCAGAGTGGATATCAGCTGGGTGCTGACAACAAGTGCACGTATATCCCAAGCAAGATGTAGCCGGGTGCAAAGGCCGAAGGAAGATACAGCAGGGTGCGCACGCCCCACTCCTACACGAAGGACACATGAGAGGGCCAGGTAATGATTGCTCACAAGTTCGGCTTGCTGGTCACAGGCCGTCCATTCAATCGCCGATCCGTCGGGTCATGCCGCAGCACTACTAAGGCACTGAGACATGAGTACTGATAGGCTTGTTCGTCCGGGTTCAATACAGGATGCAATACGTGACCGCGTCTGTATTCCGAGGAGTTCACACCTCGGGGGGGCCCACAAGGTCAAACCGCTTTACTAGGAGGATAGAACTTCGAGGCTTCTGGTTTCGGAATTTAGGGCTCGGCGGCTCCATACAAAAAACGACAACAACGCCTCAACCTTGAATCAATAAAGTCCAAGTTTTAGTTGGTGCCCTGCGCACCTGCATTAGACTAATTCGCGGTACCAGGGTGAGAAACTCTGACCGTGGCAGTAGTCGTGATCATCTCGGTAGTGGAAGCCATTATGGTGATGATTTAACTTCTGCAGCAGCTGCTGCTGCTCTGGTGGCGGCCGCGGTCGTGGTGGTGCTTTCGATGTCACGTGATGGGCCTGCGCTCGGATGAATCATGATGTGCATGTTATCACGTCATCATCGTGCTCACCATGGTCGCAATAACGGCTGCACTAATTGTAGTCGTGCCTAGTAACCTAGTACTCTATAGTTTGACAACCATTCATCGGCAAGTATAGCCTCATGTTTCCAAGCCTAGACTTCCGATTGCCGCGCGTACTTTACATCACCAACAGCATTCGCAAAGCGAGATGCCAGATGTCCGGAATTAGATGATGGGTCACGCCTTCTCCGTATACGCACAACATCGATTCACTCTCTGATACACACACACACACACACGAAGCATTGCCCTTCCGTCAACACAACACAGTCGCCCGCCTGAGGGAGGATACCATCCCAAGCCCTCGTACCAGATCGGAAGTTCGTAGGTCTCACCGTAATGGGACAGCCCATTGATGAGAGCACCTGGCAAGAGATGAAGCTGAGCGAGTCAGGTATGGCCTCCGAGGTCACGCAGACCGGCTATGAACAGGGCTCTACGTTATGCGACCACTCTACAGCATGAGCTTGACAGGATATCTCAAAGAGGCAATACTGTATTCGGTTCAGTTCTGTCGACACCAAAGCTGTTCCCCAAAGCTAAGTACTTCTGCGAGACAACTCGAGAGAGAGAGCAACTGACCTGTCATTGGTTTTGTAAGCTGCTGTCTGCCGGCTGTGTACTGCATCCGAAACACCATCAAGACAAGTGCGCAGCAAGTTTGTAACGTGGGCCGTGGAGATCTGAGAGGCGGCGAAACGATGCTCAATATGCACCGTACACATGCCGCAACCCTGAAGCCCGAAACGCTACATGGGGCCATTGCGTGAAAAAACGAAGCACGTGGAGGCAACGGAGAACCCCCTCTAAACCCGAAGCCCTAAACCCGAACCCTAAGCCCTGACCTCTAGACCCTAACCCTGAACCCCTAACCTTAATTCTGAACCCTAAAACCCCCAAAGACCTCCCAGCTTTGCGTTTGCAGGACTCGGCGGCCTAGACAAAGAGCCCGGGCCATGGCTGTCCAGCGGGACCTCCCTCGGGAGCCGAGATATGCCAACAGCGCAACCTGATCCCAAATGCGTTTTGATTTTGGGGTTTAGAGATTTTCATGCGTGTGGGTTTGGAGACTTCGAGGATTCAGGATCTTTTGTGGATTTCCGGCGCTGGGGCTTAGGGCGTTCAGCAGTGGAAAGCAGTTGGACCATCAGCACTGGGTTATACGGTTTGATACATAGCCTATAAGAGCTCCCGGCGCTAAGGTCCCGATGCCGTGGGCGGGAGATCTTCCAACATGCCTTGATTGCGAAATACTCCTTAAGTCATAGTAGGCTCATCCTTCAGCTTACGGTATTTTGCTTGATATAGGCAGCGAGCGAGCACTGCTCGTGGGTCAAGGGGTTTATATCGAGATTAGTGTTAACAAGCCAACAAGGCCTTGCAGCTTTTCAGCTTCGTCCAAAGTCCTGTAACCCGAACCAGGGTTGATATGCTGAGGGGCCAATCAGAGTCGGGTTTGGGGGTGTTGGAGTATAGTTATATGAAGGAGCCCTTAAGGAGTGATATTGGGAATTACTCAGGCTTCCATATTAAG